CAATAGCTTCTGTGTTTAGAATCATGTGCATTAAACAGCAAATCAATGTTTTCTTAGGCTTCTCTGTTCAGAAATCGTTGAATTCTGGCATGCACAGGCATGTACACATTGTAACAGGTTATAAAGTATTGCATTATTTTACCTGTAACTAGATCAAGTAACTTTGTGTTCCTTCAGCTTCACAGGCAAGTTGAGAACACATTTAATGTCACTTAGAAGCTGCACAGTGAAGTCGCTGCAATCCCTTTTACCTGCATTTTCTGTCCTGCAACCCAGAAATATAAGAAAAGCCATTTACAACTCATGTTTATTATTTCATGCACAACATACCCTCTGGCACTGCACTTCAGTATGAAAAAATGGAAGAAGGTAGCATGTACAAATACTCTGTGATTTTTAACACCTGCAACAGCTTTAGTTTAATCCGTTGATCTCATATTGCTGAAAACTTGGCATATTCATCAGATTGATTCTTTATTCTCAGTATCAGTAAATCCTGCTGGGCACTGAGAGCCACTTCGTACCAAGTGCTGTTCAACCTCCCAAGTGGATATTTAGTACAGGACTAAAAGGAAAGAACTTTAGACAATGTATTGACTTATTTTGCATTGCATATAACAAATTGAAAATTGTTTGTATAATTTTGATTTATACATACAAAGTTTGAGGCTGATTCACTTCACAATGAGGACTAATTGTAACTAACAGAACACCCCAGTATAAGGTCTTTCACTAACACTTCTTACAGTGAACATATCATATTAGCACTCTTTAGGTTGTATTTACAGTCAATATATATACAGTATATATATATATACACACAATATGTATATATATATATATATATAAAATTTAAATCCCTAGAAGTTATTTTGAATATTAGCTGCTTGGAAATCAGTATTTTTCCTCTTTCAGATTCAGGAAGTTGATCTTACCCAAAGTATCTGAGCTTGCTTTTACATGAAACAGATATCCACAATGCTAGATGTTCCTGACAAGTGTTAAGAGGCCTGTGCACTTTTATAGTAGTTCTCCATTTCATTGTGATATGTTTCAATTAGGAGTTACTAACAGGATGAGCATGCTTTATAGGGAAGAGAAAAAAATCTTTAAGCTTTTTCCTTTTTTAATTTGCATTTCTTTTCACTTTATATTTTCCAGTATTCTGAGAACAAGAGACCTTTCCTAGTGTCACTGGAAAGGACACGAGTAGAGTAAAGGTAAATAAGTGTACTTCCAGAAAAGCTAGAATTCTCTAACTTACATTTTACATTACACTTCTCTAAAATTAAGCATTTAATTTAAGTAGATGATAACACTTTATTGACTTCCACACCATCAGTATTGAACAATTAGTCAAAGCAAAGACGCTTAGAAAATATCTGATAATATTCGAAAATGCCATAAAACAGACAATAAATGTCATTTTAAAAGTGAGTATTGTAAAATACATTATATGGAAAAGTCTTCAGGAGCTAGAAGCATGTAATGAGTTTTTCTGATAGGCATTCTTGAGTTTTTGTCTTTTTAAGATTCTTGACTGTTCATTCTTCAACATTATGTCATATTTTCACCTGTTTCTAAATATTGTAAATAAAACATTGGAAGATATTTACATTCCATTGTCTCCTTTTTTGATTATGTGAATGTACCTTGGAATTCATGAAAGCACACAGCTTATTTGTATAACTACATCAAAGCTTCAGAATGAAGTTATGTATTCTACCAACATTGGAGATAAGGAGAATTTTTAATAATAGAGAGAAGACACCCATGCCAACAGCATCAGAATAAATTTCCTAAGATATGTGTATGTCAATAAACAATGAAGACTAAAATGAAACTCCTCTGTGTTACTAATAAGAAAGAAAAACTGAAAAAATACTTATTGTCTGCAACTAGAATAGACTGGAAGGGAAATCCTCATTCTCTCAAATCAAGAGAATCACAATATCTTAGTGGACCTACAATTTAATTAAACGCATCTTAAATGGACACTGAAGCATACGCAACACGATTTTGTTAAGACAACTTTTCGCCTGAGTTTTATCCAGTCAGCTGTCCAGTTGACTATTAACATGAATTATATTTGCACAAATCAAATTAACCGTACCAGAAGGAAGTCTGAATATAATTGCCTTCTTGTAACCTCACATTGCCTATAGGATCCTGTGTCTGTACAATTTGATTAGTTCTCTCCCTCTCCTTTTACCCTCTCTGCAGTATCTGCACAGTGTTCATGCAGCCCTCTGAATACATTCTTATGGTCATTTAGTCCAGGTTTAGGTAAAAGAGAACTCCATGGAAGGCTTTCTGCAAATATACTGATACAAAAAATATCTGCCAGATGACATCATGCCCACTTCACATGGAGCTTCTATATAAGATGTAAAGTCATACAATATGAAAAAAAAAAGCTGTCAAATAGAAAAACAAATGTTTTCTGTGTTGCAGTAATCAAGTAAACTTACTTGATTTTACCAGGTAAAATTGTGATAATTTGGTTACAAAACCAGTTGAGTGTGCACTGTAGGTGCAGTAGTCAGTTGCTTGTGATGTTAACAAAATCTCAAAGATTGTTATGAAAGAATTGATGATATGATTTTAATTCTGGGAGTGGGAACAGCAATAGTGATAATGTTTCCAGGGCAAATATGACCGCAAGTATTTTCAAGTTTGTTCATTTGGATAAAGCATTCTCATTTGAATGAAACATTTCCCACTACCTCACAATTAATCAGCCAAGAAATTGAAAAGAAGCCAGGAAAATTCAATTACTTTAGCACAATCATACTGCTATTAAAGCATAATTTGCATTCAGTCACTGGACACCTTAAAGGAATCATTGTGGTCTGCCAGTAATTTGAGGACTGGCTGCTTGGGTGATAGCCTAATAACTTGGAAGGTTCTGGTCTTTGTTAAAAAAGTCATAAGAGGTATGTGAAGCCTCAATTAAATGGTCAGAGACAGATAACATGGAAAAATGACATCCATCATTCATAAAATTTCTGAAGTGCTCTGGAAAAAGGAAAAGAAAAAAAATCATGCTGGCTGGGATACTTAATGTACTTTCTCAGAATTTCTTCTGAGCTAGATTCATAAAAAGTCACATTACTCATTTTAGCTTCAGAAACCAGGATTGGCAGAATCTTCTTCATTTGGGAGAAAGGCTTCTATTTGTGAAGCTAGTGATATAATCTGCTTAACTGATACAGTTTAACTGATAAAGTTTAATAATTTTACTTCTTCAGAAGTGGAAATAACTTAAAAGTTTAGTAAAGAAAAAAACACATATAACATATTTTGTTAAGAATCAGCACCACTATATGATCTCTTATGTAAATATATTTGTTTTTTTGTTTGTTTGTTTGTTTGTTTTTTTAAATGTTCAGTGTCATGAACCTATTCATTTTGCAACTACCTAGAGAGCCTTTTCTTAACAGGAAAAAAAAAAAAAAAAAAAAAAAAAAAAAAGTATATCATTATATTTGGATATATTTTCCCATAAACTCAACCCAATATTTCAATAAATGTCTTTTGTTGTGGCAATGCCCATTGAACAGCCTTTGTTTATTAAAGAAAAATAAAAACCATCTTCTGTCTACCTATATCTATGATGGCAGTAAAACATTATGATAGCATTAGGTGAATTTTGGACGGGAAGAGTTAAATTTAACTGGCTGGATCAGTATAATTAATTATATGATTAAACATGTTCATTTAAGATCTCTTTTTGCATTTCAAAACACAGTTTCTCACATAGAAACTTGATATATATGACTTGATAATAATCATGGCTGTATGAGAAATGTTACAGCAATTTATTTAGAATTAGCACTATTTCCCATTATGGAACAATTCGGTACCTGTAGCATAAAGAGCATACTTCCTATGTAGCACTTAACATTGGCAACTGCAGCCTCTAAGACATTTGCAGCTTACTCATACAGAAAAATCAATATGATACAATCATCCTTAGTGTCCAAACAGTGTCACAGTCTTTTCGTGGATACTTCCACCCCTTTCAATGCGTCTGTGTCAGGCCATTTACCCTGACCACCTGCTGGCGTTTCCCTTTGTTAGGAATATGAGATGTCCAAGCTTGGTTGATCATAACCACTTTTGCTACCTGAAGGCTGTCTGCCTGTCTATCTATCTATCTATCTATTGATCCATGTACCCCAATACCTTCTTTGGACTGGAGTTTCCAGACATCCCAGAAATGCCAGCTTAGACCAACCTGCCAAACTCCCTAAGTCCCTGCTGTGTCCACTGTGCACTAGCAAAGCAACTCTGCCATTTATGTATGGCGTGGATGGTCTGTGCAAGAGAAATAGATGCAGTGTCTCTGGTGTCTGACTCACTGTGACATACTTGAGGTGACATTTCAAAAGAGAGGTCCACAAGCAACATCAGGGCGTTGTGTTGTGTTGTGTTGTGCTGTGTTGTGCTGTGTTGTGCTGTGTTGTGCTGTGTTGTGTTCTGCTGTGTTGTGTTCTGCTGTGCTGTGCTGTGCTGTGCTGTGCTGTGTTGTGTTGTGTTGTGCTGTGTTGTGCTGTGTTGTGCTATGTTTTGCTGTGTTTCGCTGTGCCTGGCGGTGAAGCAGGCACACATCTCATGGAGCCGCCAGGTGGAGCAGCTTCCACCAGCGCCAGCGCCTCGCTTCCTGCCACAACCTGCCCGTGGCCGGGGAGGCTTTGGCCATTTAAAAAACGTGAATCCGTGAAACCTAAAAGGAATAATAGGGTACCCTAATAGGGTAGCGGGGCTGACCGCGGCACGGGTTAGAGGTGAACTAAGGCTTCGAGGCGGAGGTTTATGAGCCAGGGGGCATCCAACAGACACGGATGCGTGCTTTACAAGCCTGATATAAACTGACACGAGGGCAGCGTTAGGAACTAACTGCACCGAGCAGCACCGGGCGGGCCGTGCCGTGCCGGGCCGGGCCGGGCCGGGCCGGGCCGGGCCTCCTGCCCTGGGGCGGGACCGAGCAGCACCGCCCCACCGCGGTGCCGCCCTGCTGGAGCCGGGGGCGGGCCGGCGGCTGAGGGGAGGCCGCTCCAGGTCCCAGTCCCGGCCCCAGATCCCGGTCCCGGTCCCGGTCCCGGTCCCGGCGGGTCTGGCCATGGTGCTGGTGGTGGTCATGGGCGTGAGCGGCTCGGGAAAGTAGGTACCGGGCGGCGGGGCACCCCCACGCCGCGCCTCGGGGCGGCAGGGCCAGGTCCGGGGGTGGCAGGGGGACATACACCGGCCCCGGGGCCCGCAGGTAACCAACCGGCTGTGCTTTCTTGCAGGACCACGGTTGGGTCGCGTTTGGCAGCGAAGGTACGGCTGGGTTGTTCTGTGGTGGTTTGGCATTGCTTCTGGCCAGAGAGCCTGCTCTGACTCCATCCCGCAGCCCAGAGCTCGCCCACCGGTGGTACCCAAACCTGGCGTGGCAGCTGTGCCGTCAGGTGCAGTCTGCAGACTGAAATGGGTGCCCACCACCAGTGCAGCATGGGCTACTAACAACAGCCATTACCATCAGCCCTTGCTGTTGCTGAGCTGACTTGATTTTGGGGATAAACAGCATTGCATAAATGGTGATTCACGCAATGGTGTAAGAGGCCGGTAATTTTTAGGTGTTGTCCTGTTAAATTCTGGGATCCCTATTAGCTAGTCTGCTTTGGCTGAGTGATCCACATTCATTTCTTTTTTCTTAGCTGGGATGGAAATTCTATGATGCAGATGATTACCATTCTTCAGAGAATAAAAAGAAGATGGCATCAGGAATACCACTAAATGATGAGGTAATTTGTACGAATTGTCAAAGAATAGTCATCAAGACCTCTTTGCAAAATCTGACCTTTCTGCAAAACCTCTAGCAAATCACATTAAAATAGGTTGTGTTTCATGTAAGCTAGGCTGACTATAAACTGACTATAGGTTGAATGTGTAGGTCTGCAGTTAATAAGAGAGAGAGGCTTTTTATGTTACAAGAGATTCTGCAATAAATAGTAGTAATTAAAAAAAAAAAATCAAAACATGCCTGATAGCTCAAATAGTTTGCTGATTCAGGATCTATCAGAAATCTTTCCTCTACATCGGCATATAGTACTGCAACTTTAGATTACATGCTTCTGGTTTGAATTAACACAAAGACAGAAAAAGGTCTTCCTGTTTCTCTACTGAAGTACATTGCTCTCAACTACTGTAAAGACTACCCTTAACTTTCTGTTTTATATGCAATTACTTAAAATGTGTTTCCTCCCCTTCAGCCTGTTGTTTAGCCTAAACATGCCAAAATGATCAAGCTTGGGTTTACAAACAATACTTACAAATTCAGAGTCTTGAGTAAATTAGAAAAGCTACAACAAGACACCTCTTGAACTTCTTGTAGGAAATCTGTAGACATGTAAGCCTGAACTAGAGAGTTCTTCAAAAGAGTGTCTTTAGACTGAAGATAATATTGTAGGTACTTATTAAATACTTCAATTTGTTTGGAAGTTCATGAAAACCATTATGACATGTAAAGTGGCACTGCACAGTTGGATGACCAGCGGTTATTGGGTGTATGGTGTCAAGCAAGGAGGAAGTAACTCTTTTGAAACATCAGTGGTCCAAAATTATAAGGGCTTGCTTGAATGCCATAAGGAAGTGATTGTTTAATGACAGCAACAAAAAAACTGTTGCATTTATGTGTCCGTGTTTTCATTTGTTGCACTCACGCAGTAGTAACTACACTGAAAGATGAAATGAGAGCAATAGTTTAATGCTCAGTTGGTATGACAAATGCTGCTGTGAGCTTAAGGCCTAAAATCAGATTATACTAAGAAAACTACCTATCACTCACACTACCTTTGCCAATCTCCTGAGCAAAGGTGTTGCAAAATTGTGGCTATGAGTACATTTACTTGTGATTGCAACTGCAATAAAAATGATATAATTAAGTTATTGCACATAAGTACATTTAGACCTGTTTTGACACCTTGGAGTAGTTCCTGAAAGCCTCAACTCTGATCTGAAGCATTGTATGTATATGTCAAGACATAAGGAAAAAGAAGTAACCATTCGAGCAGTGAAAGCTGCTATCTTACAGCAGACTTAACATTTGAATTGTATAATAGAAAAGTAAAAGTAAATTGTATAATAGAAGCAAGAGAGAATTTGACTGTCCTTCAAAGGCTTATGAGGTGCATGCTATGTGTAAATACATATTATTTCCATCAGATACATCTACGTATTTGTAACATAACAAGTACTATTCCCCTAAGAATACCATATTGATAAGATGCCTTGCACTTCATAGTGTTCAGGCAGTGGTAGCATATCTACGTTAGTAAGAAAGAGAATGTAAACTGAACTTGCTATAAATTTTAATGCTAATTTTCACCTCTAGTTAAATGTTCCCAATGTTAAAAGTGATTCTTTCAAATCAATTTCCCAAACAATTTTGAACTAACTTGTTTTTTTTTCTAGGACAGGATTCCATGGCTTTGTACATTGCATGATATACTAAGGAGGTAAGAGAACCTCTGGATTTAAGGAATTCAGGTTAAAGACAAGATAAAATCCCCCCACCTCAAAAATAAGTATTTTTCCCCATTGTATTCTGAAACAGAAATGTATGTGATAGTGTAAGAACTTTTGCAGCTAGTAAAAGCATTCTATTTTCACTAATCTAAGGTGTCATAATAATTGCAAAGGGTGAGCTAATCCCTGAATCTGGGGTTATCCCTGGGAAAATCATTTATGATAGTCGTTTTTCTACTGTCAGTAGATTATTTCAAGGATCTGGTTTGATAATAAACCTGACATTGGCTACTTACAATGGGCATACCCACAGAATACACTAATAATTGGATTAAAATTTTCTAAAATATTTTTAGTAATAGTAAGATACAGTCCAAAATGCTTAAGCATTTGATAGTTAAAAGATATATTCAGAGGTTTAAATCAGGTAACCAACTCTTTATTTGACTATGAATTTTAATAATTATGTACTTCCTAAGATCAAATTACCTTGCCTCATCTATTCAGAGACAAAGATAATTCAAAGGAAATTTTCTTAAACTTAAAAATGCTTTAAACTGGAGCACTTTATTTACATCTTGCTTTAATTCAGTGTGTTATGCTAAACCCCTAAGAAGCCTGCTTTGTAAAGAGGAATTAGGGGTATGGGGGCCCAGCTGGTGGGGGGGGGGCTCAGTCTCTCCTTTGAAGGAAAACGGTGTAAGAAGGAAGATGCTGCTACTGCATGCCAGCAACTGGTTGCAGAACTGGTGTTGGCAAAAGCATTTTGGTTTCTATGACAATGGGCCCCTGCTGGAGGATCAGTATCTGCTTGGAAGAGGTGGGTCCAACTCATTTGGTGAGGTGCAGGTATGGCTGCATGGCTGCAGTGCTGCACTGGAGGGATGGATGCAGGAGAGGCTGGAAAGCCATGGAGCAGGAGTTGCCCTTTGTGTGAGAGCACCTGGAATGCATGGGGCTCCGCCTGGGGAGAGATGAGGAGCCAGCTGAGGGCGTATGGGTGAGGATTAAAGAGCAGAACAGTATGTTGACATTGTAGAGGGTGCCTGCTATAGGTTTCCTGTCTAGGAAGAACAAGTGGATGAAGAGCTTCTAAAGACGGCTCTTTGAGGCAGCCTCATGTTTGCAAGCCCTGGTCATCAGGGCCTTCAACCGTGCTGATATTTTCACGCAGGAACACCACAGCAATACAGGAGGTTTGTAGCATTAATGACAAATACTGACCCAGTGACAGACAAGACAACAAGTGCTCTACTGAATCCCACTCATCCTACAGGCAGAGAAGGGCTTGTTGGGCTTGAGAAGCTCAAAGGAAGCAGTGGCTGCAGTGACCACGAGATGGCAGCATTTAGATTCCTGAAAGGAGAAGGCAGGCAAAAAGCAAGAACACAACCCTGTATTTGAGAAGAGCTTACTTTGGCTTCTTTAGGGATCTGCTTGGAAGAGTCCCGTAGGATTAGGCCAATGAAGAAAGATGGGCCCAGGAAAACTCCCTAATATCCAGAAATCACCTGCACCAAGCTCAAGAGCAGTCCATCCCAACAAGAAGGTCAGGCAAAAATTCTGAGGCCTGGGAGGAATGAGGAGCTTCTGGCAAAACTGAAACATAGTAAGGGAGCATACAGAGGGTAGAAGCAGGGACAGGTAACCCAGGCAGAATGGAGAGACACTGCCTGAGGATGCAGAGATAAAGTTAGGAAAGACAAAGCCCACCTGGAGCTGAATTTTGTGAGGGGTATCAGTGGCAACAAATAGGGCTTCTATTAGGTATGTAAGTGGAAGACTAGGTAAAATGCAAGTCTGCTGCTGGATTGGGGCATGGAGTGTATTGACACACAACATGAAGAAGGTGTTCTGTACCTTGGCCTTTCCTATCAGTCTTTACTAGCAAGACTGATTTATTTTTATTTTTTTAATTAATTTTTTTAGCAATCTCAGGCTCCAGACACCTGTGGGAAAAGTCTGGAGCAAGGAAGTTTTACTCCCAGCAGAAGAGGGACAGGTTAAAGAATAGCTGAGCAGAATGGACTTACATAAGTCCACAGACCCTGATGGGATACACCCATGAGCATGGAGGGAGAGGGCAGATGCCACTCTCAATGATCTTTGAACAGTCATGGCAACTGGGAGAGGTACTTGATGACTGGAAGAAAGTAAATGTAAAAGTAAATGTAAAAGTAAAACTACTTTTTCTTCAAGAAAAAAGGAAGGGGGAACTGCAGGGAACTGCAAGCTGGTTAGCCTCACCTTTACCCCTGAGAAGGTGATGAAACAACTAATTCTGGGCACAGGCACATGAAAGAAGAAACTAGGTAGGAGTAGTCATCATGGGAGTAGTTGACAAAGGGGTTGTCATGCTTGACCAACCTGATAATCCTCTGTGATGAAATTTTGGGTTTAGTAGATGAAGGGAGAGCAGTGGATATTGTCAACTGGGACTTCCATGAGGTTTTTGACACTGTCTTGCATAGGATCCTCATAGAGAAGCTGATGAAATAGCGGCTGGATGAGTACATTGTGTGACGGATTGAAAACTGGCTGAAAGGCCAGGCTCAGAAGCTGGTGTCAGTGGCGCAAAGTCTAGTTGGAGGCCGGTAACTAGTGGTATACTCCGTGGGTAAATACTGAGTCTGATGCAGCTTAGCATCTCCATTAGTGGTCTGAGAGTACACCCTCAGCAAGCTTGCAGGTGATCCATAACTGAGAGGAGTGTCTGATATGCCGGGTGGTCCTGCTGCCATCCAGGGGGACCTGGGCAGGCTGGAGAAGTGGGCAGACGAGGATCTCATGAAGTTCAACAAGAAGTGCAGAGTCCTGTGCCTGGGCTACTACTACATGCTGGGGGCCATCCAGCTGGAAAGCAGCTCTGCAGGAAAGGACCTGGGAGTCCTGGTGGGCACCAAGTGGTGAGCCCTTGCTGCAAAGAAGGGAAACAATACCCTGGGCTGCCTTAGGAGGAGTGTTGACAGCAGGTGGGAGGAAGCATGATCCTTTCCCTCCACCCAGCACTGGTGAGGTAACAGCTGGAGTATTGAGTCCAGTTCTGGGCTTTCCAAACTGGAGCTACTGGAGAGAGTCCATCAAAGGGCCATGAAGATTAAGAAACTGGAGCACCTCCCATAGAAAGAAAGAGAATGGGGACTGTGTAGCCTAGAGGCAGCTTGGGATTTCACCAAGGTGTCTGTTTATCTGAACGAGGGGCTGTAAAGACAGAACCAGGCTCTTTAGTGTTCAGTGACAGGTCAAGAGTGAGTATGCATGAACTGAAACATGGGATGTTTCTTCTGAACTTAAAGAGGAACCGTGTGTGTGACTGAGCGCTGTCAGCAGGCTGCCCAGCAGTGGTGGACTCTGTCCATATTCAGAAGCTGTCTGGATGTGGTCCCATCACATCATATTTGTCTGGTTACAATTGTCTCCATGTGGCGATGGTGCATTTCACCTGCTTGCACCTTTACTGCAAATAGGAAGAGGGTGATTATTACAGCCACCTACTGCCCTTTGCCTACAGCCGGCTCCACGCATACCATGTCCCTTTGTGGATCATGGGATTGATCGTTTAGGGGCAGGCTGAAGAGGAAACAAACCACACCAAACGCTGTGTACCATCAGCCTCGTATTTCCCAGAGTGTAGGGAATTACCTTGCATACATAAAGCATCTCAAAAGTTACTCTGACGAAGTGTCATGTCTAGCCAGCTTCCTCAGCATCGTATTCCCTAGAGGTCTTCTTGCTCTGGCTTTACGCAGTAGCAATTACTAGTGTGTGCACACCAGCTGGTCATACCTTGTTAGAGTGGGGGTTAATTTACTGAGATGTTTCTAGATTATTATGCTAGTTCCATCACTTTTTGTCACATGCTAGCCCAAGGCCACTGTCTAGCTCCAGAAGCTTTCCAAAATCAAGTCTACTTCAACGTGTAATTGCAAGTACTTGGAAGCAGGTGGCATTGGTTTGCCTACCAATACACCTAAGGTTGTTCTCTACAAGGGTAAAAGGTTTGTCTCCCATGACATATGTTTTTTCTATTTGACAGAGAAGAATCATCTAGACAAGATGCTGTTCTGGCCTGTTCAGCACTGAAGAAAATGTATAGATGTGTACTAGTCAGTGGAGTATCTGCAATTGAAAGCAACCAGCCAGAGAAACCAGGAGAAAATGTAGCACTGAAGATCCTCTTTGTTCATCTGGATGGTCCTATAGAGCTCATTGCTCGCCGCCTGGAGAAGAGGAGAGGACATTTCATGCCACTGGAACTACTCAAGTCTCAGTTTGACACTCTAGAGCCCCCTAAAGCACCAGAGAACTTTATTACTGTCAGTCTAGAAAAATCTCTTCCTGAAATAATGATGGAGATTGAGAAAGCCATTTTTTCAGGGTAAGGCTTTTCCAGAGTAAGTTCCAAAACTACAAATGCAGAAATTCACCTGGCAATACCAGGGTTATGAAACAACATTTTAATTAATCAAAGCAACTTGTTTTTCCCAATACTTGAATTAGAATGTTAAGAGATGGTTCACTACTCTTGATATTTTTATCATTTTAAAATGCTATTTAAAACACACGCAGTATGAACTTTCAAAAAACTGTCAGCAATGTTTGAATTCCTTACCATATCAAGTTGAAATGTGTATTAGAATCTAAGCAGAGCCAGCTTTTGAAAATCCCATCAAGGGTTGCACCCATGAATTATTGTTTTTTGTTTTTCTTTAATTTTTACTGTCAAACATGAGAAAGGCACATCTTCTATTAAATGATGGAATAATGTACAGCTTTGTTAAATGCAGTATATTTATTTTCTTACTAGTATAAAAGTAACATGCATGATGAAATTTCATGCCTGACATTGCCACTGTCTCACTGCCAGGTCTTTAACAAGTTGTAACTTCTGTGTTTGTGTTCTTACCAGCCTCCCCACGGCAGTGAGGAGGCTGGCAACTTCACCAGCTCTTCAGTACATGCACTGAACCCCAAATTGGAAAATGTAAGGGGAAAAAAAAAACAGGTAACAGTTGTGGAGTAATGTACAAAATACAATTGTCTGGAAAGCTTCAGAAATAAAGTGTATGGAGCATCATATTGGCTTTTATATAAAAAAATGTATCCTTGGATAATATACTGGATGTGTCAACCAGTGAAGATACCGAATATAAGATTGATGAATCACACAACTCACGCTTCAAAGCATCTTTGGAGTAATTTTTACCTGGTTAACTAGTTGAAAAGCATTTGCTTTATCATTTTGTATTAATAGTAAGCGCTTTGTGGCTTACCATGCAAATTGCTGTGCTTTGATCAGTGCTATAAATGAGCACTGCAAACCCTCAGAAGCAAAGTGCAAGAGACGCCTGGGTGCTTAACAGCCTCACATTTCAGATACCTAGTGACTAGTCAGAATATAGAAGTTCAGTCAAGTATGACAAATAAAAGAAATGGCACCCTCTTGTGGTACCTCTGCCTTTAATTCAGTCTTTGTATTTTCCCAATACACCATTAACAAGCAAAGTGCTTTTCTAGTACATCATCTGTTAAGTAAAGACAGGCTTTTTTTTTTTCCAGCTGCAATAAACTAGATCAAGGACACTACAGTAGACAGGAAAGCAATTGCATCCTGTCACAAACATGATTTAAACCCTCAAATCAAAAAAGAAACTTGGTTGTTTTCAATTGTGTTTTAAGAAGTTCGACTCCAGATTTCAGATCTGCACGTCCTGTGTTTATATTGTGCTCACAAATTAGCCAGTACTAACAGAAAATCCTGCTCAACACTTAACAGGTCTCTCACGACATACAACAGCTCCCCCAGATATACTAAGATTGTGCATGTGTATAGTGGGAGGTCACAGAACAGTCTCTGTACATGTTTCATTTACCTGCCCAAATTAAGACTGTATTAGGGATGATGTGTTCAGGGTAGGCACAATTCAGGTTATTTATATTTAGCTCAAATTATTTGGATAGAAGTTTTTCTGTCCTTGTTTTGAAATGACTTTAACAGAGGCAGCAAAAACTGGGGAGGAAACATCTGGAATTAGAAATTGCTTTTCCTGCCTCAGACATGAGTTCAAGTATAGACACACGCTACCTCCTCAAGAATATGTGCCTAGTAGTTTGTAACATGCTGTGTAAATGCTGTACATAACTACAAAAAGCACTTAGGAGCATTTTGCAATATTATATTGAGGAAATAAAAATGAAATGTTAGTTCCCAGTAGCAGTTATTTGTTCATACATTAAGTACAAAAAGGGTAGAATCATCTTAAACCACACAGGCTTATCTATAAAGGCGGAGATCCAGCTGCCTGCCAGCTCAGTTCCGAAGTGAGATGGTTATTTTATTACACAGGCACTGAACAAAAGAATTAGTCTACATCATTTACAACACCAGCCATCTTGCTGATGCATTCCCAGGTGTAATCTTTCCTTGTTAAAGACGTAATGAAAACTAACCCATCTATAGATCTTGCCCCACCTCCTCATGTTTTTGTTTTCTGACAAAATTAGAATTCCTCGTGCAAAAGATGGCTCACTGTTCTTCCAATACTTTTAAAAAAGTTACTGTTGTTACTATTTGATAAATATTGATTATACCTCAAGAAATAAACTTACTGCAATGGCTTGTTGGTATAGTACAGAACAAATATCTTTTCTTGAATTCCAATGGAATTCGACTTCAACTACAGTGTCTCTTACTCACATAGGTAAAATGCATGCTTCAGGAACACATTCATGCAAGTTAAATTCATCATTTCAGTGTCTTTTGCAAAGCTTGTTTAAAAAGCATTGCTCACCTCACCTTCATCCTTTCATTTGACAGTAGAACTATGGATGTTACGCATTGTATTCGTGAAAATACCTACCTTCTGAATGACACGGGGTCTCACTTTTTTAAGGCAAGATCCCAGTAAAGCACAGCATTATCATGAAGTCGGACTAGTTACTGTGAAGATTCTAACAAACAGCTATTGTGAAAGTCATTGTAAACAGGTAGTACTTATTGTACAGAAACTACTTCCCATGACTTCCCAGTCATAGCCTTCTATTCAAATGCAATGAAAGCTACCCACTGAAATAGAAGTCATTGTGAAGATTAGTTCCCATATGGGTTTATTATAATTGACTAGAAAATAAAGTAATTAATAATTTTGTACCCAAACTACATGTATTTGAATAGGTTTTGATTATATAAAGCTTATCTTACCAGGATATTCTATTTTAATCTATTTACTTATTTACTACTCTGCTGCTGATCTGAGACTTTGATCCAGAGGCACAGGCCAGCCAACCAAGAGACTTTCTTGAACTTTTCCCAGTAGCATGCATCAGCATTATTTTATCAATCTACTTACTGGCAAAATAAGAGACAAGGTTACTGGACAGTGAACTCTTCTGTGTGAAGAATACAATTCAGTTACTGCCAACAAAACTGCTTTGCTGGAAGTTTTAAGTTGTTAAAAGTTTTAAATTTTCACACTTTGGTCAACTTTTCTCTTTTATATCCTGTTACAGTTTTGTTTCATTAAACTGGTTAACACCTTTGAGTTAAAACTGGTAATTTTAAGCCATTTGCAAGCTGAATTTTTACTTACCATCCAAAGACCATTCAAGTCAAGTTTTAAAAGCAATATGGGAATTCACTGAGAATATCTACAACTAAAGCAAACCCTATTCAGTAACACCCAGCAGCATATTTTATTCCATAGTCCCCACTGTATCTAAAGTAGTAGTCTCCAGTATCATATTCCCCTTAGCCTCTTCCTTCCACTTCATACTCCGAGAATTCTTTACAAATCTCAGCCCCAAATTGGTAAATATTCACAGTTTACAGTCAAAGGCCAGCTATTAAGGTAGTCAGTCATCCTGAATTCTAAATCGTCCAATGCAAACACACAGAGGCAAGATGCTTAAAGATTTTTTGATTTATTTATTACCTGTGCACAACAGAGGTAACTACCAAAAAAAAAAAATCAAAAGATATACAGTATTTTTTACATGGTGTTTAAAAGCAATTCGAGTATCACATGACTGTGAAAAACTAATGTTGCCAATTGCAAATCAATACATGTTAAGATCTCAGTGGAACAAACCCAAAAGCCTTAGAAGCAGTTTGAGAGCACAGGGCAGTACTCCTTAGATTTGCACAATGATTGAAGTAATTTACAGTTAATCTTCAGGAATATTGAGACAATGTTACAATCCAAGTTTCTGTACAGTTAGATTTAAAGAGATAACCAGAACAGTACTTCTAGTATATTTTAAACGAACTCGCTTAAGCTTTTTTTGCTGAGATGGTTACCAAATAGGCTGAAAGATTCTACACCAAAAACATGTCTTGTGACTTTTTTTCTGGCTTTTTTGGTTACTTATAATTTCATTATATTGTAATGTGTAAATTCTAGAAATGAGCTGTTTCCATTATATATACTGTGTTTATACTTTATACAAATTAAAGCAAAAATGGTAGATTACTCAAGTGGTATAAATCTTACAGCATTTTGCTAGCAAAAAGTACATGCTGAAATCACAATAAGCAGTATTGGTACCCACAAATTATAGCTTTAATTTGTTTCCTTTTAAATTTGTATTCTACATAAATTACTACTGAAGGCTTATGTTTAAGTAGTAAATAAATTGGCCAGTTGCAGGTGAGACAAAACCTGTTCACCCAACTGCGAAAGCTGATATTGTTTCAAAAAATCACAAATAATGCAAAACGAAAGAAGTGTGATGCATGCAACAACTGAGGGAAAATTCATTGATCCCCATTATTTGAAGTAAACTACTGCACTCCACCTTAAAATGCATCAGACTGATTTTAGTTATAACGAGACAATCCCAAGAGTCAGAATGAAATAAAGCAAGTATTTTAAAGATTTAAGAGCTGTTATCAAAAATAAATTACATTTTTTCAAGTTAAAGAAACACTGCTATGAAGGCTGAGAGCCCAGGAGCCTTTCAATAGCTGCATTGATGTCTCCTCCTGTTGCTATTAGTGCTTGCAAGTTTGCTTCACGGTTCAAAAAGCCCATTGCACTCAGCTGCTCCAGTTGTTGCTGAAATCTAACTTCTGGATTTTGTAACTGCTAAGAACAAAATTTTAAGATATAAAACCATAATACGTATTTGGCAAAGTACATGATTTAAGCATAGTTGGTCATGCAATTTTCCCTGTCTTACTAAGATCAGCCTAAACCTTTTCACGTTCCTGAAACTAGAATATGACAAAAGTTCAATTCTCTATTGAATTATACTGTATTTGTGAGGAGTATCTACACTTACATTACATTCTTGACTACAGGAAAAGCTGCTTGTTTGATAAAAATGGAATACAATTAAATCTGGTAAATTTATATCCTAAGAATAATTTCTTAATATTAGCTACAGACACCAATTATATGCATATTATATACTGTGTAATATATATGCATATATGTAACTATATATATGTAGCTATATATACGTACTATATATAGATAATATACATACATATACACACATATACACAAGATATATATATAATTTTTTTTGTTTGTTTGTTTCTTTTTTAAACAGTTCAATAAAGCAATGTTGGACAGCAACATTTTAATGATAATGCTGCTGGCAATGGTGAATGCATTAGGCTTTCTTTGCTTGGTATAAAAATCAACTCTTTTAATGTTACAAGTATTTGTTGATTAAAGTTACCAGAATTCTAACTATTAGAAAGCTTCAGCATAAAGCAAACTGACAGCTTTTATAGACTGATCCTGTGCATATGTGGCAAAATTCTTCTAATTCAATTCAAAGGCATTTTTCAGTTAGAAAAATTATATGAAAATAACATGCTGGACTAATACCAAGACCATTTTTGTAATCAATGAGAATTTAGATATTAAACAAAACTTTTGCAACTACTGCTAATTGTATTTTTGTTCCAATTCAACAATTTCATCCATGAAGAAATTACTACCTGTAATGGCTCCAAACCAGTACAAAGTAAAGACACAACCTGACACTTAAGAAATTCACCTCACTGGCACCATCTCTGCCACCACCTGCTTCCCCTAAACACAACTACGCAGAATACTCCATCAGTAGCCTAGCACACGACAGCGTAACAAGATGCACTGCAGCCTGGACCTGCAGGATGTCCATGAAGCATACAACAAATTCAGGCCCCAAAAAAATGGACTGTGGCTATTCCAAAGCCTACGACAGACTTAGTCACAGCTGAAGAGTAACAACAACACAGACAAAAAGCACAGAGATGATTGTTTTCATCAAGCTTAAGCTCTTTCCTGAGCCCACCTTTCATTTGTTAATGAACCTCACCACCTCAATTTGCATCTTTCCAGGCATTACAAAAATTCAGGGCTATGAAGATGAGCATTAAAAAAATCTGTTCAGAGGACACTTTTACTTTTTTTAACATTTTTGAAAAACATTTTTTAAATGTTTTTCAACTATTTACTTGCACAGCTGCAACACCACTTTTAAGCCACTTCTGCTTTCTTTTGGCCATAATTATTCTGAGCTCTTCTTTCAATTCTCAGACTTCTTTTTGGTGGTTTAAAGTGAAAAATGCAATAATAATAAAAAAAAAAAAAAGAAGAATATAGTGCTCTACATTACCTGAGCATTTGCACCAGCAAGTGCCTGCAACATCTGTTGAACAAACTGCTGGTGACTGGGTTCAGTAGATCCTGATGCTGGACTTGTATTTTCACTGGGAACAGAACTAGAAACAGTGGACCCTGTAGGAGTTCCTGTGCTTCCCAGTCCACCTAAACCAGGATTAAATCTGCACAAATGACAGAAAGAAATACCTCACTTGAATAATAAACACAAGCATAATTATAATGTCTCTTCTGATCCTAAACTTAATAACCAAGTAAAAATACTGCCAAATACAGAGTGGCTAACAATTTTAGTAGCATACTAAGACAAAGACCATAGCCATCACTGTTTAAAATGCACTACAGACAAAATCATGAAAAGATTCCAAGACAAGTTTAGTGAAACTAAAAAAAAGCAAAACGAAGTCTTTATATGTGATAATCTCTACATGTAAAAAGAAGGAACAATACAGTGCAAGAGAGGAGTTCTTGTCTAAACTTGTAAGACCAATTCTCACCCGGGTATAAGTCCTGGTGCTTCTGTTGCTAGTGTCTGCAAGCCCTGCTGAATCTGTAGCAAAGCCTGCATTGCTCTAGGGTTTGACATAGCTGATAATGTGTCAGGATTCTGCATCTAAGAAAAAGAGAGAAACTTGTAACTGAATCATATACAGATGTTCAATGTTATTTTTTGATCACAGATGTTTTATAGAATCTGATATTCTTTCCAAAGTTGCTTTTCAACTTGAAATTTGAATATTTACATGAAATCCTTCAGGTACATTATCATTTTTTTGGTAGAACTTCCACTGAAAGTCATCGATGAACTCTCTAGAGATGGACAAAGCCTTCCAAATGAGGAGTACACCAGGAAAAGTATTTTTCGTTACTTCTATCAGACTATCACCTTTCAAGCCCATAGGATTGTATTTGTCCATCATCATTCTAGGGTTAGTCCCCTGTTTCATACTACTGGTGAGCAACAACACCGAATACAATGAAACTCAGCAAAAAGATATCTAATAAAAAGATGTATTTCCGTTTCCTAGCTAAATTCAGACCACAGCAATAAGATCATGATAGCTTGTGCACGTGTTGATACTTTTAATGACCTTGCCGACTGTAGAAATATAAATACATACAGTACAAAATAAACCAGCAAGCAAATGCACAGCATTAAAGAGCCCTCACTCTACTATGACTTCAACTAAGAGGTGACTTTCACATCCACAGATGATATAAAATGCAATTCCTTTTGATTTCTGAAATGTCCAGAAACCAGCCTACTTTAGATAAAAATTTAAACCTGCGGATTTATGCTCACCTCTGCTTAGAGATGCCACCCATAATTAAAAGCTATTTGTTTCAGTCACAAGTGAGGCAGTCTTAGTACGAAGACTTAATTCAAACAGCAGACAGGCTGATTAATCTTAGCAGCCTTCACTTGGCAACTAGACCAAATTCCTTCTGCTGCAAAAACATTTTAGATTAACAAAGAACTGCACATATTACAGTCAAAATTCCTCTGGTCCAGGGCAGAATTGCAGTAAGTCTGTCTGGAATATGGGTGTGTAACAAGACTTAAACACAGTCATCTATTAACACTCTGCAATCCTCTCTTGGATTTTTATATTCGTGATAGCTAGAAGTCAGAGAATAACTAAGGATATAGCTGGCAAAGTCCACCCAAGTCTTTAAAAACATTCTGGGTCCCCCAAAGTAAGTTGCTGCAATCACTGTAAGAAAACAATCTATAAACTGTGAATTACTGTCCAATATTCAGAGTTGTTTATACAGAAAATGGTGTCCCAATGATTTTCAGAACACTTAGAGCAAAGGAACAGAAATTACAGAATCATAGAAATGATTCCTGCTGTGTCTTCGCTATCTAGCATTTATTTGTGGATTTCAAAATATAAACGTGGTATTAGCTTCTCACATACCTAGTCATCACAACGTAGTGACATCATGAAACATCACAACCATTCATGTAGTTAAAACAACTTAATTAGTTTCTTCTGAGCACTGAACTTGCTACTGTAATTCACGTGTGACTTAATTTGACTCATAACACTGCCTGCTTGCAGTAAGATCTTAGCAATATGCATTCATTTACTCTAATTCACAGGGGTAAACTAACATGGGACAAACGTATTGTCTAGAGAATATATTTAACAGTCTTTTAGCCAAATAAGAAAGGACGACAGCTTACTGAAAAACATCACCCACTGAGTTGTGACATTTATTATTAACTAGTATCTCATCTTACTTGCTGAAGGAAAGTAGGAAGCTGTTGTCTCATTTGTTCCTGAAGCTGAGGATTTCCAGCAAATAAAGGATTATTCAACATCATCTACGGGAAAAAATGTTTAACATTAAAGACCAAACAGTAGAAACCAGTGGGCTTCAAGACAATTACTTACCACATGTAAATCACAGAGAGGATGGTAATCATTTATGAAAATGACCTCACAGAAAAATCATCTGCTACTACTTTGACCAGAATTTGTTATAAACCAACATGAAAACTATGTAGGGATTTGTATTATTCTTTATTTAATCTTTTTAAGCAAAAATACTGCCAAATACATGGCAAGACAAGCTAACTTTTACCTCAAGACAATCCTTTCCTGCTCGTGTCCGCTACATACTTAAATGACACAGCTTCTCTGTAAACATCATCTGCACAAAGTCAGGCTTATTTTCCAAGCCAGTATTCCTTACGTAAAGTGATTTCTGTTCTGTAAGCTCAGCATTTGACTTCGAATATTATTGCTCAAAGTAAAATTTGAAAGCACTTCTGTACCATTCACAGAACAGCAGTATCTGTACTTCTATAGGAAGCAACAGTCACAGGTAAGAAAATAAAACCAGAATAACACCTAAAACCGGCATCGACACCTCCCCTTCAATTCTCTCAGCCTAGTGCTAGTATTTATTTGCTAGCAGATCTATCTCCTGTAACTCCCTTAATTTGTTTTATTTAACTGTCTCTTAAGCAAGGTCACAAGTTTAGGGCTGTACACAACATACACAAACTTACAAGTTACTTCAAAAGAATGCCTGGCAGATTTCTACTACAAATTCAAGAAACTCACTGCGACGAATTGTTAAAAGGTGACCAGGTAAAAATTTCATTGAGCTAGGCATTGACATACTTCAAGAACTGTGCCATTCACTGCAGACAGTTACTGAATCGTTTGGTTAATACATAACTATCACAGATTCAACTGGGAAAAAAAGAAAAAAAACTTAAATGCATGTGTTACTATCTAAGGTGCGTTTACCTGTACTGCAAGGTCAGGATTCTGGCTTAATGACTGCATCATGCTTCTCATATAGGGTGCAGACAACATGTTTTGCATCAGTTGTGGGTTTTCCGTTATCTGCTGTAATAAGCTCTGCATTCCTGGTGTGTTGAACATACCAGCTTAAAAAAAAACACAAGGACACTTTCGTAAGCACCATATCAAATGAATTAGACTAATTAAAACCAAGAATCAACCACTTGATTTCTACAAGTTTTAATCACTGAAACGTAACTGTGTGGTTTTGCTTACACAAATGCATCCTAGAAATACGTTAAGAAAAAGGCTGCATCCAACAAACAGTCCCACCAGGCATTTAAATTATTAACTGTTTTCCTGTTTGTCTCCAAACAAGAAAAATACTATCACTCATCTAAAGATTCCCCACCTTTGTTATTTTAAGGCAATACCCATGTATTATCACTCTTAGTTTACTTTTCATGTTTGTTTTTGTACAGAGGACTTTGACACTAGTCAAATGTTCTACTAAAACAAACAGTAATAAAAACTTTAAATCCAAATCTTTCTCATAAAAGCATCATTCCAGCAAATTCTGCAGTATTTGTAAATATATATAACTACAATAATAGACACACCTCCTAATCCAGGTCCCAAATTTGGTATGGTTGAGCTCTGTCCCGTACTGCCAGAGTTGCTATTTCCAACAGTACTACTGCCACCACTCTCACCGCTGTTGCTGGTATTTGTCGTGGAACTCTGAGAACTGGACTGAGGAGCCCAGGGATTTGGTAAAGGATCTCTATTTTCTGTACGAGATGGCTGACTGTCCCCTCCTGATGATGCATTGCTTACTAAAGAAGCAAATGGGTTACCTCCAAACTACAGAGGAAGGAAAAGCAAACATATCATCTACAAAAGCCAACTGTTTAAAGTCCACTATAAATGGCAGGTTACCTTTCCAAATTTAAAACATGAAGATACATGTTGATGGCTCTTGACTGGTTATACTCACCAACCTAAAGTAACTCATTGTAAGTACTCTTAAGACTCCAACATTAAGAAACGCGAGCATCTCAAAAAAAAAAAAAATCCCATTTCTTTCAGAAAGTAGTGTTTCTACTACACTAGTATTTTGATCACAGTAAGACCCCTCCTGTATAGCAGTTTCCAACTTCATCTTAGGTTCCAAGTCACTAAACAGGCCATTACAATTTTCCTAGACCTCATAATTTTACAAGTCAAAGAAGTAAAGCAATTTTGATTTTTGTAGTAACTTAACATAGAAATTCATTAACTTTAAAATAGCTTCTTGGACCCACAAAACTTTATCTGTATTTCTTCAGTTTCAGAAAGGCACAGAATTTGTGAACATCTTTCCTCTGAAGAGAGAAGATGCTACATAGTGAATTCAAGCTTATAGAAATGCTTTGCCAAGTACACACTTGAAAAGTTACATTGTTTATATTCTTTCATTTTGGAAAAATATTTTCCCTCAGAGGCATTTGTAATCTTTTCTCACCTGTTCCTGTGCTGCATTCAACATTGGCTCCTGAATATCTGTGTACATACGTCGCAAAGCATTGTATCCACCTGGTATACTTTCAAGGTTGCTCAAGGCTCGGTCTTGGTTTCGCATCATTTCCTGCATCATTGCAGGGTTTCTAGCAAGTTCTAGTGTCTAAGGAAGTGGAACGTTTAATCTGTATTAATAAGAAATCCATTCTAAAGTGAAAACGTCAGCATTTGGCAGTATCTCAGTTACTAATATCTATTCTTGCTATGTCATTCAGTTACACAATAATGAAACGTCATGAACTTACAGAGATCTTTCTACATACCTGTCGCATTATATCTGGATTATTCAGCATATGACTGATCTCCGGATTTCTCTGTATCAGTTGCTGCATTTGAGGGTTAGCCATAATTAACTGCCTCATCAAGTCAGGATTTGAAAGCATGCTCTGAACGAATGGGTTTTCCATTATCTGAACCATCATTTCTGGGTTGGACATAAGTTGCCGCTGCATCTGACTTTGCAACTCTGAAAAGTTTGATGTATTTAAACCCAGGGTACTCAGACCTGCCAAACCTCCAAGGCCACCTTTAGGGGAGGAAAAAATGTAACTGAGCTTTCAGTTTCTGGTATACTTTTATACACAACCATGTTCTTTCAAAATGCAAAATACTTGAACATATCCCACACTTCAAAATAAATGCAATAGTCCATCTTCATGAGCCTGATAAAGTCATCCACTTAATTTGCTTCTTTAAATAACAAGACACCTGAAAAAATGTTCAAATTGCATTGAAATATAACTTGTTAGAGGCCTTTGGAGTTTTCCCCTCTAACATGTTCCAGTGCATTTCTAATAATCATTTATCCATCTCCTCTTGTTTACAATATAACCAAGAGACCTCCTGTGATATATGTTCATCTGATTCGTGTCAGTATGGAACAGTGCTGGGGCCGCATGATATGATGAATATGACCTTCTGTCTTACATACCCTTGTATAAGCACAAGTCTAAGAAAAACAGAGTGGTTAATGCATATAGTTCTTGTACCTTGCAAAGGAATATTTTAACACGTGAAGTGTCAACAGAGAGCTATTTGTGTTTGTATGTTCTTTCTTTAAAGTCTCTGATGTCTGGGGGTTTCAGAACAACTGCTAACAACTAGTAACTGTTATGGCTTCTGGATGGGACACTATGCAAGCCCCTGATATCTGGCCAGGTGGCCAGGAGATTAAGGAGAAGAAAGAAAGAAGCTGAAGGAGGCTAGAAGACAAAACTTGCAGGGGACGCTGTGTAAGCTTTTGACATGCTGCCAAGGAGTACAAAGGGGAAGGACAAGAAAAACAACCTGAGAGGAAGACTACGAGCCTTCAGCATGAAAGACCCCCAGAGACCCCCAGGGGGACCACCGGGGACTGATGCGCATGCTCCAGTAGGAGGGTTTGAATCCCGGAAGCTAATTATAATAACCTGTTTTTTTTTTTGTTTTTTTTTTTTTAGAAGTGGTAATGAATATGTATTAGCCTAGGAGCATAAAAATCAGCTGCTTGATGTAACTGGTGTGTGTCTAGGTGGAGCGGAGACTCCCAACGCACCCAGCGCTGTTTGCTTACCTCTTTTCTTTTAATAAATTGTGAACTTTGATTATAATCCTATTTTGGGACTGAGCGATTTATAACACTCCTAATATGACATGTATTCCCTATTCTAATTAAAAGTAGGGCACTTCTTTCTACTGCTGCACCAAGAACTAATAACACTTTCCATTTTCCTCCTTTGATGAGTCTGAACAGAAAATTCACTTTTTTTAAGATACTAGTCTAAAGAACTGTTTACACCTAAAAAGCAATTGGCCTAACAGCTTTCCCAATTCTGGTTTGTTTAAAAAGCATAAGATGTAAAAGCATGAAAAAAAATATTACAGAAATACACAGTATTTTTAATATCAGACTGCAGTCTTTTTTCTTGAAAGAGAAGATTGAAACTAACAACTGATTAATTATAAATTTATCAGGATTTTGCTGCTTCTGTTCCAGATCTTAGCTTCACGTAACAGATGCAACTTCACCACCCTCTTCATGCCAATAAAGGTATACTTTTAAGGGGCAGGATGCACTGGAAAAAGTTTCATTACCCATAATGCCAGCATACAACGTCAGTGGGACCTTACTACTGACGGTGAAACAACCCATGTCTACAACCCCATCTACAACACACACATCATAGATATTTGTTTTTTGCTTGCTTGTTTTTGTTTGTTTTTTTTTAAGTCCTGTTTACTGTAGAATAAAGTTTCAGTGACAATTATCTGAATCCAAGGGAAGATACCTACCATGATAGCTAACAAAACATTCTTACCTAAGCCAAAAGGGTTACTGTTTGTTGAAGCTGTTGTTGAGGTACTACTGCTTGATGTTGATGTGGTAGCAGTACTGCCAGCGGTATTTGTTTGTTGAGCTGTGTGGTCTTGTGATCTAAAAGAAATTTTAAAATAACAAGTTTAGCAAGGTTATTTAAATAAGGTCATTAAATACAGGAGTAGCATCATCATACTTTGAGAATCTTAAATTTCTCTCTGATAACTTCTCAGAAATCACAGACCTCTAGATGGCTTCCTATAACAAACCCTTCTCAGACATCAGCAACATCATCTGTTCTTCACAACAGTAGTTTCTAACATTATGAAAATGGATGGGCCTTTGCGCCTCTGAAGCCATTACCACCTTCTCATGCAATGCCTGGGACACCCAACAACATATTGCTTTCTCAGTCCTTACCTTGCTTTAGGAATCCTCGGCCTTATTCTGCAATAACACTAGCCCTCAGACAGTACCAATTACATGCCTGGGGCTTAAAGAAATAAAGACTAGCAAAATCTAATTTATTCCATGTCACATATTTAATAGGATGCCTTACAAAATGTGAAATTCAATTAGTGTTTTATTTCATTACAAGACAAATATCAGAACCTCAATAACGTTTCAGACTCAAAATAGGGTAAAAACAGCTGCCCAATTCATATATTCATCACACCTGTCTATAGCAGAGGCATATGTTTAGGTGCTGCCATGGGGTGAAAGAGATTATGGAACTGAGCTCATTTAAATCCAATTTGCCATCTACACAAAGAAATGAGGCTAGTTTCAAGCACAAATCAGTTCCCCTATCTGGTTCAAACAATTTGATAAATAACTGTACTTATTATTAAAAATCACAGTGTAAAATAACTCCAAGAAACTATTCACTCAAATCTCACACAAAGATATGAGGATTACATTATGTTAAATTTTACAGTTCAGCTCATCTCAGTGCCTTTCTGGTACAAAGAAATTCTATTATTGTTTCAATAAAGCAAAGACAGAACAAAATTCAAAAATAAAAAACATCCTTCTCCCCATGCCCCCAAGGCTGAGAGATGACTCAGGTCCAGAGGCCTCTCTAGAATGTTTACGAGCTCTGATTCCAGCTAAATGTCACATCTGAAAGAACCCAAGGGGAAAATGAAACATTTTGCAAGTCATCAACATTACAGTATAAATACCCCACCTGCTAGTATATCCTGCTGATTTTGACCAGGATTCTTGTAAATAGCAAATAAAACGTAGCATGCCAAGTCACGAATGTTCCAGGTGATATGGGACCTAATAACCTCATTCAAGTTCCTATTGATATTCCAATTAATTATGAAGGAAAATTAATCTGGGTCCACAAGATCTAACAGTTCATTAAGTCCATAATCACTCCTATGAACTCAGTTTTGCCTGCTTTAATTTGCACTCGAAAAATAGACTTTTAGGTCCATCAAAACACATACACAATCTGCTGAATGAAAACTCATTCTAGAGGGAACTTGCCAGATAACAAGCTAATGATCTGGGAAAAGGAATACATGAATACTTGGCTTTGACATAAGGTGGGTGAAATTCTGGGCTCCTGAGAAGAAAAAGCATTAACAGCAACCACCAACTTTTAACACAAGATTACTACCATCAGCCAAGCAGCTGTAACTTCAGTGATGAAGATCATAAACCGCAAAATTGGTAACAGTGAGTATGAACTTTCTAACGAAGCTATTTGGTTTCATTTGTTCAAGAAAACACACATCTTTTCTCCGTAAGCAAAAGGTAAAAAAAAAAAATAAACAAAATCTTCTTTGGTTCTTCAACTGAGGAGCTATTTGGAGAAATAAATGTACCTCTCCATGTAACTGTCAAGAGATCTCAAAGCAGGAGAGAAAATTGGACAAGACTGAAAACTTCATTTCAGCATGCTTCTGTTTTGAAATTGGGGGTATACACCCTCAAGATAGTGCTTTAGGTATCAAGTCTTTCAGCCTCAAGCCTTTGACTGAAAATCCTTGAAAGCACACATCTTTTAAATCTGCTTTACCATGATGTTTCCTCTCGTCAGCACCTAAAACCGTGTTTGCTTGTAACATTTGCATTCAGAACTTCAGTGCATCTTCACTACCCATTACTAATCACTGCTACTTTGAAGCTGTATTGGCTAAATTAGAAGACTATACTGGAAGCCTGTATTATTAAAAAAAAAGTTTAAATATTTTCTGTAAACACGAGCACTTTTTAATAAAATACCCATAACCAATCCTGGTTGAAAAATGTATGTTAGGATTCCTACTTGAAAGCTACACATGCAATGTTGTTTACAATAGAAAAGATGATCTTTTTGAGATCTAGTTTTGGAGGAGAACTTTTGTTTGTTCAGGTATATGGCATCAACGGTAGCAGTAACAGTTCAGAGAAAGGTATATGGCATGTGTAAAATGGTTTGAAGCGATTCAGTTCTGATACTCACGGCTGAAAATCAGCACTTGCCAGGCCACACTGGCAGGTATAAGGGTCTTGCTTTGGAGTAAAGCAAAATAACAAGTATTTCAGTAAGAAGAAGAATGAGAAGGTATAACATCATCCCTAACTACCTCAAAGAGGATTCCCACTGTGCTGGCAATTAAAGGAATCCTGGTTTCACTAACTATGGGCTCATGAAACCTCTCAAATTAGGCCTCTTATGAAACCACACTCAAGAGTTCAGTTAAAAAAAAAAAGTCACAACAACAGTAGAATGCTAGTTCAGGTACACGGAGCACAAAATTACAGTATTGGCTGATACTGTATACAATATTGAGATGGTCATGAGACCTTACTTTCAGCCATCGCTTTTGACAGGTGCCTGAATGTAATGAAAATGCCTGTGACCTGGTGAGGCCTACAAAGTGTAAGCATACTTCTTTTCTCTCCTTACTAGTCTCACGCTCCTTCCTCCAACATCTGATCTTTTCCCACAGATGATCCTCACTACAGACACGGGAGTCTTAAGTAGAACAGAAGCAAGAACACTTTCAGGCTAGCACAATGAGCGTGCTATTAACTCTGAGAGCTAGATTCAAATGCGGGATATATTACCCTACTTGCCAAAAGGATTTTCAGTCAATTCTTTTCCTTCAGGGCATTTCACAAGAAGTAATGTGCAGATGGCATAGCCAGCTCAACTTGATGCATCTTTCTCACTATCATTTAGAAGTAGTCTCACCAAAACAAAACATCCCAAGCGAAGTCTGTCTGCTCATCCAGATAAATTAGTTCCATTAAAGGTAGCTCGCTCTCAAGAATTTTATTTCCCTGTTTTACCAAAGCAGTAAGAATTAACCACATTTTTTTTTTTTTAAAGTGTGAAAGGTGCACAACAGACACTTACAGTCAGTTAACATGATATCTAAGAGAACTACAGAGCAAAAACGCAGCCAACAGTTGGCAATAATACCAAAGTTAAAAAACTAAAGCAAAAGACTTGAATTTAGAAACAAGAATTCAATCAAAATACAACACAAGTCTGAGAAAGAACATTGTAACTTCACACTTATTTTGCGCCAACTGTGACAAAGAAGCTGACTCGAGTGGTTTAGTGAGATCTAGTTTTGCCACACAGAAAGCTGTCACATCAAGAATTAAGAATATTTTTACGTCCTAAAGGTAAATAGAAGACTGTTTATCAATAACCAGTTACCTGTTTTGTGTTTTGATAACCAGGTGAACGGTAAGTCCATCATGAATCCCATGCTGAGTCAAAGTATCTTGATCTTTTAAAATTTTTCCAGCGAATATCAATACAAGCTGATCGGTGTGGGACTTGAAACGCTTAGAGATTTCTTCCTTAAACTAAAAAAAAAAAAAAAAAAAGTACAGTTACATAACTGAATACCAAAGTGCTAAATTTCTTAGTAATTTAAAGGACAAGCTACTTTGTTCAAGTTTATTGTATTAATGCACTTGTTCTGCATGTTCTGATTCACACAATCAAGAAATACTTCCTTAAGTTCACTCAACCTTTTTGTCCAAAGATAGGCAACCAACTCATTCCTCCTCCATGTAATAAAGATGAAAGTGTTTCACAGACTGCTAGTTATATAGCTGACAATAACAAAAAATCTGATTCCACTTAAAGTCACTCTGTTGTGCCTTCAAACAGGCACACATCCATGACGTACTACTGATACGTACCACACACATGCCTATAGGTAGTTTTATATAATCACATCTATAATTACATAGCAGCATACATAAACTAATATATACTTACACAATTTTCTTTAGATACACGTATTTGCTGACAGACTGAGGATACAAAGTCACAATAGAATGAATCTGTCTGCACTTTCACTGGAACTAACCCAAGAAGCACCCTCTCTCCTCAGACAGTTTTGATGCCTTCCACAAACCAAAACCAGCACACTTTCCACACAGGCAAAAAACTTCTCAGGCAACAATGCCTTCTCCTTGTTGAATGACGTAGCCACATGAATTAGAGTTCCAGCCCAGGCCATAGTGAATGACCATATACTTCAGCTGACCTGGAACCTTATCAACACCACTGAACATGGAAAGCCACTGTATGCCTCCCTGCCTTAACCAGTGATAACCATGGCATGCTTTGGCTGAGATCTGACTTTGATTTTACTTTTCTAGAGAAAAGCATTCTCACAGAAAGAAAAAGAAAAATCACAAAAGGTAAAGTCGAAAATACCCAGGAAAAAACATTAAGGAATGACTATTATAGCAAAGCCTCGCAAATTCTTAAACAACACTAGTCAGTAGGCTAATTATTATAAAGGTATCCTAGGCAGTTAGGAAGACCTCTACAAGGCCACCCTATTTAACATTTTAAATTTAAATTGACCACACTACTTGAAATGAAAGTTTCCAAGCATTCTAGGAATTCTCACTGCTACAGAAAATACAAATATTAATCTTGCAATAAGATATAAATTGCATTTTATAACTGGCATGACTGGAAAAAAAAAAATCCCAGAGCACTATACTTTGAAAGAGTCTCTAATTGAAAGGTTTTATTGGAAAGGAAGAGAAAAAACAGATGCAAAGAAAAAAAAAAGGCTGAGACACAATAGAGATAAAAGGCCTCTGTATATGGATAGGAGGTACTCCTTGGTTATTTACATCTGCTCACACAGTTAGTTCTGGTTCTTATGAAAACAACCTTTAAGTCAGATTTCATGCTGGTAATATTTAGACTCGCAAGTACTCCAGAAAATTCCAGTCCATTTCTTCCCAACTGGGTCACTTACCTGAACCATTACTGACATGTTTATCTAGCCTGCTCTCAGAGGCCCCCAGCGACAGACTCTATCTTTCTTCCAAGAAACCTACTCCAGTGCTTCACTCTCCTGTTTCTTCATTGTCCTGCCCACCACAGACAATGCAAACAAACTGTTCTCCTAAGAACTTTTCCTTACGGGCAGTGTTTTCTAATCCAATAATTCTCACCACTCTGAATTTTCAAATCCAGTCATATTGTACAGGTAAGACTCGAAAGTGGTCACAATATTCCACGTGCATTCTTATCCACCCTTGCTAGGATAACAGGATGAACTCCACATCTTGCAAGCTGTATTTCCATTTGTAAGAAAAAGAAACCCATACGTAAAAATAGCAGTGCTGACTATTTAACAGGTATAAACTCTGGGCCCTTTTCTGCAGAGCAACGACGTAGGCAGTTGCTTCCTATTCTGCATTCTTTTGGTTAATTAGTCCTGAGAGCACACATTCCAGAGCAACATAAAAACTGCAGAAATACTTGCAGTTTGGTACAAAGATAATGCAGAAGAATAAAGATATTATGCCAGACCAAAGAGTAACGTCATTACCTAAACCCATTTACTATCATATGTTCACAAGATGCTGTAACAGGGAGACCCACAACTTAACCACCATCAGAAAGCTGATGCCGTAGTATAAATGGTATTTATATTACTTTATCTTAAACCATGCCCTGTTACCTGTTTCTAGAAGCAGCTATTTACCCACGAGGTCAAGGAAACAAGATGCCTTTTATAGACTAAAACCACAGAGTATCTAATATTACTGGTATATAGGCATCAAAGGCTATACACATCCTTATCCCTACTATCATGTGAAGCTGATTAGATGACCTGCAAAAACGTTACTGTAAGACATGAATGCAAAAGCCAGTGTACCAGGACAACAAAGGAACCTCTACAGCAATGTATGTGCATGATCAAAAAATCACAAGGGATCACTTTCCAGCCAGGATAACGCATCTATCATGAGTACTGAGCCAATTCCAGTTAACTGTGGCCTACTGACATTAACAGCCTAATAGCAGGGTGCGGGGATAGAAAAGATGAAGTCAAATCTTTGTTTTTTAATCAGTTTCACATGGATTCAGCACAATCTTAAGATTTCTGAAATGAATGAGAAGGTACTAAGAGGTTCCAAGCAGGACTGAGCTTTCTTTGACATCTCACTCACAAAAGAAAAACACTGAAAAAAAAAAAATAGGTTAACATGAAATTTATTTTGCAAATGAGTCTGCTGATTACTCTCAACAATCAAAGATACCATCAAGAGCAAAACAGGCCAGTGAACAGCACACTGTTTTTTCCTGAGGCAGAGGGAAGAGAACCATTTACATGTCTGTAAAAAGGAGGCTCACAGAACATTTTGAACACAAAAGTTTGGTTTTTTGTTTGTTTGTTTTTTAAATTGTCAGCATCTAACATGTTGCTTTGGGGTGGAGGAGAAGGTTTAATATAAGCCAGTCTTCAACAGCACCCGATCCCTGCCAGTACCATAAAATTATTAGATCTACATTTGAGTGTTCTTGTGAGACCCAACCTGGAACACTGCATTAGGCTCTGGGGTCCCCAGCACAAGGAGGACATGGACCTATTAGAGCAGATCCGGAGGAGGGCCATGAGGATACTTAAGAGGGTTGGAGCACCTCTCCTGTGAAGACAGGCTGAGGGAGTTGAGGTTGTTCAGCCTGGAGAAGAGAAGGCTCTGGGGAGACCTTATAGCAGCCTGCCAGTGCCTAAAGGGGGCCTACAGGAAAGCTGGGGAGGGACTCTTAGTCAGGGAGCAGAGTGATAAAAAAAAAAGGGAAAGATTTTAAATTAAAAGAAGGCAGATTCAGGTTAGAGATTAGGAGGAAATTCTTCACTCAGAGGGTGGTGAGGCCCTGGCACAGGTTGCCCAGAGAAGCTGTGGATGCCCCATCCCTGGGAGTGTTCAAGGCCAAGCTGGATGGGGCTTTGGGCAGCCTGGGCTGGTGGGAGGGGAGGTGTCCCTGCTCATGGCAGGGGTTTGGAATTGGGTGAGCTTTAACTTCCCTTCCAACCCAAAACACTCTGTGATGATGCACATAGCTACTGTTTGAACTGTGAAATAAAGTCAGGGAGGGTGGAACAGAGAACTTTCTCTCATCCGCTGTGCACAAGCAACTCTCACTGCTACTGGTAACTAAATCACAAGACCACTGCCCCACCATAAAGATGAAAACACAAAAGCTTCTTTCAATTCAGACAGCGTAAAGACAAGAAAAAGGACTGGCAATTACTTTACTCCCACAGATCCTGCCTGTGCAGTTTTGATAGGACTCCTCACCACATATGGCAGATATTTTGCTACAGCACTATGGTAGTGAAAAGACCATAGGTGTAAACTCTGGAAGCTCCTAGACGTGACTAGCAAAGGCAACTCTATCAATTTTATTTTCCCTGGGGTCAATCCAGTATGTATCAACTCAATATCTCACATTAAACATATGCAACCAACAGAAAAGGGAGTAAAGGAAATGAGATGATGACGAGACACTTAGGCAGATGTAAGAAAATAAACTTTGGGACTTATTTCACTTTATATTTGTACAACTGAACTAAGTAATACTGCCAGTAAGCTACAGTGAATGCTTTAAAATACTTCGTCGCCTGGGAAAAGCAAGAGTGGAGGAGTCCGAAGTCTCATTAGCTGTCGAGAAGCAATGAGTGTTTGTGTGCAGTTCTACCACGCTGACTTCCTTTTCATCAGCATGCTGCACTGCAAACAATAGTTTTAGCCAACTCGATTTACTGTTCAAAAATTCAGTTCAAAACAAAGTTTTCCTTCACTGTAATATTAGGAATAAATAATGGCTTACCATACCTAACACCTAGCACGCTCACAGAAACTAGCTCATTGTGCTGCAAATACAATAGAAAGTAAAAATACAATAAAAATAAGGTTAAAAGTGACATCACCTTTAGACAACATTGTTAAAGAAACAGTATAAAGAAACACAGTGAACAGACTGAAACACAAGACTAACATCTAGACAGAGTGCCCTGGTTTCCCCAAGGAGGAAAAAAAAAAAAAAAAAGACAGCTTTCTTAACTAGAGTTGTGAGAAACTAAGTTGTGTTTTTGCAGTAAAGAACTTATTTTCTCTATTCCAAGGTAGTTGTGTAATCATAACAAGGAGAAATCCTAAGTAGGTAAGTGGGCAGTAGAAGGCCTCACTCTTTCAAAATAAGATAGAAGCTTGAGAAAAACAGGATGAGCAGTGAGGGGACAGTAAAATAAAGATCACAGATTCGAAAAGCATAAGAAAGGAGAAATTAAAGGGTTGAAAAAAAAGAAAAATTGTACACGTATGGTATAGAGGAGGGTCGAGTAGCTTGTGAACCTGTAGTACTCTGCCAATGAGGAAACAGGGGAGATGATCAGGCAAATTAGAGCTGATGTTAGTCATGTTGAAGCACCTGGTCTGTGTTATCCTTTTACCTTGTTTCTATTAATTTTTCTTTAAAGGATAAGAGCAGTATATTTTTATTTTTTTATTTTTTTACATTTAGAGGATTAACTTTT